TTATAGTATCCTATATCTTTGTAAAATGTTAGGTTTATTTACATATCTTTTCAAAGTCAACCAAGTAAAATATCTTTTCAAATATCAAGTCAAAAGCCTAAAAATGCAGCTAATAAAAAGAATAAAATGTTAAAAAATTTAGTAATTTTAAAAGTTATAAAATTTAGTAAGAAAACTAACCCATTCTTGATGACGCGGAAGGTGGGCATCGCGTTCACGTCACCGGCCGCTTCTAAAGGAAAGGTGAAAAGTGGGATAAAAAAAAGTTTACCGGTGCACTCGTCAACATCGACCTTCAAGAAGGGCACATTGGGGTGCTGCTCGGCCAGCTCCTCGAAGACGGGGCTGATCATCTTGCACGGGCCGCACCTGGAAAGAACGGAATTGGAATTAGGAATATTAAGGATTTTATTAGAACACAAAAATATTAATTTAATTTTGGTACTTACGCGTTATCGGGGGGACCAACTTTTTGCCTATAAGTCCAGAATTTCCTAGTCACTTCATAGTTAATATTTTTATGGTGCTTTTAGCAACATTAAAAATCTATTTTATTTCAAGTGGAAAATAATCAGAAACTTATTCTTAGTCGAATATTGGTCAAAAACATCTACTTTTGTACTTTTTTTAGTAAAAATTTGTAAAGTTTTACGTTCAGAAGCATTCAAAAAAAAATTAGACAGCTAGGAAAAAATTAAGAAAAAGAAAACATTAGGATAATTCGATCCTAAGAAAAAATGCCCCCCGATAATGCGAAAGCGCCTTCATTTAGCGAACCGAACGGCAAAGCGTACCATGAGGCGGTGAAGTCGATGATGACGACCCCGTCGGCGTTGTCGGCGAGAATCTTCTTGAAGTGGGCGTCGTCCTCGACGTGGATCAACGGCATTTTCTGCAATCCAAAAAAATTAAGTTTTCCTCGTAGAAAAGCGAAGGAAATGGAAAACGAAAAATGTGGACACAAAATTGGAGTGAAAGCCAAGAAAAAACAGAGGAAATAAAGATAAGAAGCGGAAAATTTGGAGGTGGTAAACAGCAAAAGCTAATTATATAATGTATTTTTATCGTCTTTTTAATCAGTTTTTAATGCTAGGAACTTACAAAACCCGTTTAAAAAACTGAAACAAAACGTCGACTCTTTGGTTATTTTTTCATATTTTTTGACAAAAAAGCAAATATTGTAAATTTAATTTTTTGGTGTATCTTTTAAATCTTTATTCCATTTCCTAAAGAATCTCTGCTAGTCTGCCCGTTCTTAAAAAATGTCTGCTAGCCTGCCCCTTCCTCAAGAATCTATGCTAGCCTGCCCTCCTAAAGAATCTCTGCTAGCCTGCCCTTTCCTAAACCATCTCTGATAGCCCGGTGCCTAAGGAAAATATGAACCCCCCCCGCTAAAAGAAAAGCACCGCATTTTTCATAAAATTGAAAAAGTCCAAAATGATGGCAAACAAAAATTGTTTTTAATACTTTTCAAGGCCTAAAAAGGTGAATGGGCAATAAATGGAACGTTCCAAGGGCCGTAGAAAAATCTAACGAATTCAGCCCGAGTCATGGCGTTCCTTTGAAAAGGTTCCTGGAAGGCGCGCCGGCCGTTGGAATACTCAACACAATTCCTGGGCAACGAAAAACGCGTATGTTTGCCCAACATTGCACCTAGAAAAGGGGCGGAATCTAGGGGGAAATTGAGAAACCCAAAAATGACGAGAGAATGCTCGAGAGTTCGAGAGGCCTGTAAGAAAATTGATAAAGCGCGTTTTCCAGATCTTCTTTTCGTGGGGGAAGTCAGAGAGACGAGCAGCTATAAAAGTTGCGAAAGAAGGGCGCAAGAAAAAGAGCTAAAAACTACCGGCTTACGATGAGTCATCCGCCCCCAGAGAAACGATAGATATATAGAGAGAGAAAAGATAAAGAAGATGCTAGCTAAAAGGGGCTGGGCAGCCCCAAGAAAACGGCTGGTCAGCTAGTTTTCGAGATTTACCATATTTTGACGACATCCTGTTAACGCTATTGAATAGAGGATCCCACGGGAACAGGAAAGAAAACGGGCCCTTAATTAAAACAACGTTAGCCATCTCAAAATATTCTTTCCATATCTTCCATTCCATAAAAAAATATCAAAATAGTCCAGACACCGCCCCGCAAGCCACGTTGAAAAAGATGCAAGATGTGCTCCTATCTAAAAAACTAAGTTAACCAGAAACTGCACAATCTAACAATCCAAAAATCACCCTAAAAGAAACGCTAAAAATAAGCAAAACGCATTCTGATCTGAAAACAACGCCGCTAACAAGAAAAAGCAAGCCCACCTATCTAAATCATCTTTTCGGCTCAGAATCGACACGAAAAAAGCTTAAAAAAAACATGGAAAACGCGCTCGTAACTAAAAACGACGCCGCTAACAAGTAAAAGCAACGTCTAGTCATCTAAAAATATTCTTATTAGGCCAGAGATCTAGGCGCAAAAAAAAACATGGAAAACGCGTCCGGATCTAAAAGCGACGAAGTTAGCCGGAAAAGACAATATCTAGCTATCAAAATATATCCTTTTTGGCTTTATAACGCTAAAAATTCCTGCAAAACGCGCCCCTCAAAACGTCATTAAGAAGAAAAATCAATGCCCGGCCATCTAAAGATATTCTATAGCCTTGATATCTACGCGCAACAAACGCTGAAAAAAGCATGCAAACGCGCTCGTAAATCAAAGCAAGATTTTCGCATATATTCCCCGATACGGCTGGGAAAACTAAACGTAAAACAACCAAAGCTTAAACCTAGAACCCATTCCAAATGTGCAGCGTCGTCGATCCATAAACATCCTTGAGGCCGCGGGAGGGTTGGGTTTTGTTGACGAGCCGTTTGCCGCCTGGCGCCTCTTCGTGGCCTTGATCCATCGATGGCCTGCTTCTCAACCCTCTGCTCGCATCTGCATTCCCTTGCTAACGGCCCGGCCAATTCACGCAAGGTCGGCTCACCAGAAAAACACGCTAGATTCCAGGCTCTAAAAAATATCAGAAAACACGCCGAAAGTTAGGTGCGCCAAGAAAAACGCGCCGAGTAAAACGCATCGCAGATCCTAGGAGTTTAGAAGGTATACATCCCTATTAAGGTTGCTACCTAACCCCAAAAAACCCAGGAAAGAGCTCGAAAATTAGCGTAGATTTGATATTTCGGATCCTGGCGAGCACAACGGCGAAGTTAAGCCTGAGCTTTGATTTCTTACAAGCTAAGCTTGACCTATCTCACGTATAGTCTTACCCTTAGCTCTAATAGGAACAGTTCGGTATCCCAAGTTTAGAAAACTAGTTTTTGAGCTTCTAAAAGGCGTCATTCCAAATAAAACAGCTTGGATTTAGTCTAGGCCTAGTGGTTGCTAGCTTAGCTTCCAATTAACTAGGCCAAGCTTCAGTCGCTTCGTTTTCTAGCCGTCGGGTAAGTCGGGGGAAAGCCTATGAAACTAAATATATCATAAAAAAATCCCTTGCAAACCTTAAACTTTCCATTATTCACATAAATCAAGGCCGAATCGCCAGGGCGCTTTTGCGTGCGTACAAGTCGAAAGTCGTAAGAATAGGTGTATTTATTAAAATTTAAAAGGCGACTGAACATTAGGGAGAGAGGGCCAAGAAGAAATGAGTGAGGCAGAGAGGGAGTAGTTTCCAAGACAAACGAGGGAAGGCGTGGGGAGAGGGGCACTATAGAGCGAGGGAGAGAGAGGGCGAATGCTTACTACTACTGGGAGAGACTGCGGGGAACAACACATTTTTGCACTAGACTTTTGGGGCCAAATTTTCTGGCGAAAATTCGGGGCAACCGGATTTTACGTGTGTGTGTATATATATTATGAAAGACTAGCTGGAAAATGGAGGGCCCGAGTGCGGGGGGAAAGGGAAAGATGGGTCGTTTCAAAGATTACGCTTCAACACGCCGATTTTTATTTTGCCTAAGTTTAATTTCAATTAAATGAATCAAAAATTTCATTTTGTCTTATTTTAGAGGCCACGCATGTGGACGCGACGTCGAAATAACATTCCAACTAAAATACAACACTTTAATAAGTCTTAGTTTTCTGAAAAATGGCTTTTAACAACCTATTTCCCTTCATCCTGTTTTTACGCGCTGAATCCGAATTAGGCCAGTATTCCGACGTCGCGGCTAGTTGCGTAGCGTTTCTAAATTACCTATTTTCTCAATTTTTTTAAACTTTCTATTTAAAAATGAAACCACCTAAATGCAAAATACGCGAAATAAAAACCGGCTAGTTGAAGCGTTCCAGAATTTCAAAACAACTAGCGTTTATAGAGATTTGGGGGTGGAGGGCAAGGGGGAGGAAAGGGTAATTTGACGCCACACTCACGAGTGCATAATTAAACTGATCACAATGCGCGGGGAGCAGCAGCAGCAACGAGTCTTTCGAGAAGGAGTCTACAATATATCGAAAAAGAGGGGCAACAACGAGGGGAAGTCAGAAATAGATTCCGGTCAAAATGGGGCGAAAAATGACCGCAGCATACCCGATTTGTTGTGGAAAGGCCGGTGGATGTGGAGGAGAGATGCTTGTTGGTAGGCTGTTGTTGTTGGCCGGGCCTATTGGGAGGCGGACGAGTCGCCTTGTCCCGGTGCGTTGTTGCCAAATCTGAAATCAGGGGATGAAACGGCAAAAAAATAAAAACTGGATTAAAAGGTACTTTTGCGATATCGGGGGACTTTTTATAAGCCTAGACTTAGCAAAATGTTTAAACTATTTTTTTACAAGCACTAAAAGTAAAAACTTTACGAGTTTCTATAAAAAACAAAAAGGTAGATTTTTCTACCAAAATTTCAATCAAAACATTTTCTAAATTTCCTTTTATTGTTTTCCACTTCGACCATCGCTAAATGTTGCTTAAAAAACTATGAAAGCACTAGCTTTTACGTTGCGAAGCATTTCTAAACTTATAGGTACAAAGTTTATAGCCCCACCCCGATAATGCAAAAAACTTTCAAAAACTATTAAAAAAATTAATACCTTCGCAGACGCTTCCTGGGCGGCGGCTCGATCTCGTCGTTGCTGTCGTCCAGCTCGTCCATGCTGTTCCCCAACGGCTCGCCGACGTTGAGCGCCTAAAAAGCAAAAATTAGAAATTTCAAAATTAAATTAAATTACAGAAAAACTAGAAAATAGCTAACAACAAAAGCTAACTAACTTATAAAAACAAAGCCGACTAAAAGCTTATAAAATTACCAACCGATTCGAGCAGCTCGTTGGCGAGGCCGGCGTTGGTCTTCTTCAGCTCCCTCCAATCCGGGCTGCGCATCACCGTCTTGTGGTGGCCGACGAGGAACCGCGTGCAGGCCCTCTTCAACAGCTCGGCCGAGTAGAGATCGGCGAAGCTGGCCAGCTGGGAGAAGTTCTTCACGTTCAGCTCCTTCGAGAGCATGCTGAAAAGGCAAGTTAAATCGAATACTGCAAAAACAGCCAAATAAACCGATTTTTCTAAGATACTTTAGAAAATGCTTTAAAAATTATAAATCT